ATGTGTTCCATCTACAGCCTCAAATCCCGTGAGGGCAATGTTAAGGTCAGCCGGGAACTCTCTGCTCACACAGGTGAGAAGACCTCTTTTCCTGTGTAGGGGTCACGGAAATCCAGGCCCCTGTCCAGTTGTGACCCTGAGCCAGAGCCCTGTCCTTCTAATCACCTTCAGGTTATCTCTCCTGTTGCCGTTTCCTGGATGACAACAACATTGTGACCAGCTCTGGGGACACCACGTGGTAAGGGTTGAATGCCACGGGTGCTGAGGACTGGAAGGTCGTTCTGTGCTGAGCAACTGTGACATTTCTGTGTGATGGGCTCCTTTTCTCCTGACAGTGCCTTGTGGGACATTGAGACGGGGCAGCAGAAGACGGTGTTTGTGGGACACACTGGAGACTGCATGAGCCTGGCCGTGTCTCCAGACTACAAACTCTTCATTTCGGGTGCTTGTGATGCCAGCGCAAAGCTCTGGGATGTGAGGGAAGGGACCTGCCGCCAGACTTTCACTGGCCACGAATCCGACATCAATGCTATCTGTGTGAGTGTTCCTTCGTGTGTGCCCTCGAGGAACTAGCTACCTTAAACCCCAGGATACATCTCTGACCCACTTCCACACCACTTCTAAGCCCTTTCCTTATTATTTCTAGAAATAATCTTACCTTTATAGGATAGTTAGAAAAGCAATGACAAGAAATCCCAAGTCTGTTTCACCCCATTCACTGTTACCACTCTGCCACGCTTTACAGTTGTCTCTAGACATTCCAGCACACACCCTCACACATGCGCACTTAGCTCCTCCCCTGCTCTCTGTCAACAAGTGCCCTACCAGCAAGCTACACCCTAGGTCCTCATTCCTGGGTCCCTTGAGAATAGATGACTCATATCATGGCTCTGTGCCTCTCAAATACTTCTTGGAGGGCAGAGGTGGGTGTTGGATCCCCTGGAGCTGTTGGAATCACAGTTATGAGCTGTCATGCAGGTGGGTGCTGGCACCCATCTGAACTTGGGTCCTCTGCAAGAGCAAGTGCTCTTAGCTGTTAAGCCATCTTTCCAGCCCTAAATCATAAATTAAAAAAAAAAAAAATCCCCGAAGACAAGGTCTCACTATATAGCTCTCTGGCTGGAATTTGCTATATAGACCAGGCTGGCCTCACATTCAAGAGATGTCAGCCATGACCAATTTTTAATTTTTTTTAAAAAAAATTATTGAGTGTGTGACTAGTCAGAAAACAAATTTTAGGACTCTGTTCTCTCCTTCTGGGGATCAACCTCGGGTCATTAAGCTTGTATAGCAAGTCCTTTTCCCCACGGAGCCATCTGGACACCCCCAGTCATTAACCCTATTACTTTATCTTCATACTTTTTTGTTTTGGTTTTTGAGACAGTGTCTCTCTGTGTAGCTCTGGCTATCCTGAAACTCACTCTGTAGACCAGGCTGCCCTGGAACTCGCAGAGACCTGCCTGCCTGTGCCACCACTGCCCAGCTTATACATTTTATTTTTGTCATGATAGAGAATGAACCCAGGTTACGCCTAGAGCTGTATCTCCAGTCCTGCCTTTCATCTTTTGAGACAATCTCAGAGTTGACCATGCTTTACCGGAGCCCACTGTCTCACCCTGGAAGGCTAGCTTTAAACTTGAGGCAATTCTCCTGCCTCAGCCTCCCAAGTGCTAGGAGTACAGGTATTAAGTGGCCATTCCCAGCTACAGTATAAGTTTTATGTGTATGAGTGTTTTGTCTGCATGTGTGCCTGTACACCAAGTACATGCCTGACACCTGCAGTCCTCTGGAACTGGAGTCACAGATGGTTGTGAGCCACCATATGGGTGCTGGGAACTGAACCTGGATCTTTTGCAAGAGTAACCACTGGTCTTAACTCCTGAGCCATCTCTCCAGCCCCAGCATAATTTGTAAGAACCAGGAAATTCAATATTTACAGAATATTGCAGCTCATACTCAAATGTAATCATTATCTCATAAATGTCCTTACTACAAAGTTTTTCTACACAAAATCCAATCCAGAAACATGTAGATTATCTCATAAATGTCCTTACTACAAGGTTTTTCTACACAGAATCCAATCCAGAAACATGTACATCCTTGCCATGTCTTCTGTCTCTAGATTGGAACCATTTTTCTACTTTTCTGGGGTCTATGATATTACATCACCAGTTTTCTATAATTTCCCTGCAAGTACACTTGTTATTCTTCAGAATGACGTTCAGGTTACTTGCCTGGACCTCGTGCTGTTCCCGCACACCCTGGACTAGTCTACAGGATAATCACAGAAGTCTGGTCTTTCAGTCATGTGACCCTGGGAAACCCTGGTGCTCTTGCCTGCCTGCACTGCTGCAGTCACAGCAGAGGGAGCCACAAGAACACAGCAGTGATCACCCTACCAAGAAAGAGACAGGCAGAGAGACCAGTGAAGTGGCTTCCATGCCCCATGGGAACCAGGAACCAGGAAAAAAGGCGAGGCTGCCCCAGGTCTGAGTGCTGACCACTGCTTATCTGTATTCTCAGTTCTTTCCCAATGGAGAGGCCATCTGCACTGGCTCAGACGACGCTTCCTGCCGTCTGTTTGACCTGAGAGCAGACCAAGAACTGACTGCCTATTCCCATGAGAGCATCATCTGCGGCATCACGTCAGTAGCCTTCTCGCTCAGTGGTCGCCTGCTCTTTGCAGGATATGATGATTTCAACTGCAATGTCTGGGACTCTTTGAAGTGCGAGCGTGTAGGTAAGGGTCTGCCCCAGACATTCCAGCCCTCCCGCCTTTCCTCCCAGTTTCTTTAAGGGGACCCTCTTCCTGCTATTTCCCAGTTGTTGCCTAACCTGAGCCTTGGAAACCAACACCATTTGCTTTGGAAACTAAGACCAGATTCCCCAAACAGAAAGTGCTCTAAGCAGCCCTTCTGCCTCGTGCCGTGCCTGCTCCTTCTGGTCACCCCAAACCAGTGTATCTTAAGTGTCCAGACCTTTGTGTACCTGAAGTTTAAGCGACAGCCTCAGGGAGGTGTGAATAAGAGTAAACCAAAGGTCCTGGGCCTAGCCTAGAAGCTTTTCTAGGATTGGCTGTCTAGAGTGGAAAGACAGCCTGGCTTCTATCAGGAGAGACCAAGAGCTGAAAGAAAATAATACATACTCCTGAATCAGACTCCAAATCCTATTCAGTTGATTACTTTCCAAGTTGCCTTTTCTTTCTTTTTTTTTTTTTTTTTTTAAATCCAGAAACAAAGAACCCCGTCCTTGGATCTATCAAAGTAACCCTGCCCTTCCTCACAGCTTATTGATATTACTAACCAATTTACCCTTGCCCTACCAGAGACTTGGGCTCTGGACAGAGGAACTGGCCTGACGAGAAACCTCTCTCCTCGGGGCTAACCCTCCTTCAGTTCCTTAGTTCCCATCAAGGCAGAGGCTAGCCTCCCCGGGCTGGAGCTTCTGCACATCACCGGCCCTCACACACCTGGGAAAGTAGACTGACTTTTCCTCTCTTCCTCAGGCGTACTCTCTGGCCATGACAACAGAGTCAGCTGCCTGGGGGTCACAGCTGATGGTATGGCTGTGGCCACTGGTTCCTGGGACAGCTTCCTCAAAATCTGGAACTAAGGAGGCTAGAAGAAGAGAGGTGGGAAACCATGAAGATTCTCAGCTGCTTCCTCCTATATTCATCTCTTTATGGTCAGTCTTCTATAGCCCAAGGGCCATTCCCAGTAAACTTTCTTTTGAGAGCAGTAGGGATTATGGGAGTGTGCCTTTGGAAGCATCAGGGACACAAGGGCAAAGAACTGCCCCATTTCCGCCATGGCCTCCCCTATCCAGAGCCCTCACAGCTTCTCCCTTAATAAACAGGAACAGACCCTCTCAGCCTCTAGGGTCCTCTTGAGCTACCCATAGCCTTTGTCCAGACCAGGAATGGTCAGGGTGCTCAGCTCATGATTGTGGATGTCACTACTAGTCTCCTGGCCCCTTCAGACTTTCTCCTTTTCTACCTTTCCCCCTTTATTATCACCTAATAAAACGTAGCATCCTGTGTTGCTAGCTTCCACCCCTTTGTGCTACAAGAAGACCTAGGTCCTGCTAACGGACAACAAGATATTACAGGTGCTAGGATAAAGGTTAAATACTAGGTAGACTGTGGGCAGGAAGAAGGATCAAGGCAGAAGCTGAGGTTTCTTAGGGAGCCTGAGTGGCTGGGAGGCACACGACAGCTTGCTGCAGACAACAATCATGTGTGCATGCCTGCATAGGAGCTGGATGATAAAGGGCCGTGGAGGCCACTAAAGAGTTTCAAGTGGGGTATTACCACGATCTCTAAGCTTGTCAGGAAAATTGCTCTTCTAACAGTTTAGGGTGGTAAAATGGAAAGAGACTGGCCCTCTAGAGACATGAAACTGGTGCAAGGATAACAGGCCTGGGCTGAGTGTGAAGTTCACTAACAGAGCATTTGTCTAACATGAGCAAAACTCTGGGTCAATTCCAGCAAAACACACACACACACACACACACACACACACACAGAAAAGACACAAGAGATCAGAAACATGGAGTCACCGAGATCTAGTGATCATACTCACAGATATGTCATTCTGAACAGAAGAATTCAGTATGATGACCAAGGCCAAGACTAATGTTCAGGCAGATAGGTGGGTGAGGGTCTTCCCAATCCACAAGGACGGGGAATAGCCTTAGGGAAAGAAGATCATAAACTTTATTTTAAGGGAACTAACGCTGAGTGTTTATGTGGCAGCTGAATAAAAGTCAGGGTAAGAGAGGGACCTGAAAATTACCAGAAGCAACTAAGTAATAGCTAAGCCCCAACAAAAGGGGAAGAGGAAAGAGGGGCCAAGGGCAGAGCCTTGGAGAACATCAAAACTTAAGGCATAGAAAAGAGGCTTAGAAGTGGCAGTAGAGAGATATCCAGGGCTCATAGACCCCAGGCTACCATTCTACACACACAGAAGACCCAATGTAGCTTTGTCTAACTTCCTAAGGCATCATTTAAAACCATCTCCTTTAATATGAAAAGAAACACACAAAACAAAACAACATCCAAGTACCAGAGGTGGCAGCCTGGGAGGAGCCTGACTTTGCTCAGTGCTCTTGGGGAAAGAGACTATCGCCAGACGCTGGGTGAACCCAGCGTGGACCTAGCTCTCCATTAAAGCAAAGTGTTGATTTTCCTTGTCATGGTCCTGGTTTTGCTCCCATGCTCCTCCAGTTTTCAGGAATCTTCCAGTTCCAAGAATGACTCCTTCCTTTAGGTCCTTACCATTCTCACTTAGAGGAGAAGGTCGTTTACCCTGCAAAAGGCAGCATGTGAGCCAAGGGCCAGGGCACATGAGGGAGAGGGGAGAGTGGGGCGAGGGCTCCGACTACAATGCTGGATACGCACAGTGACAGCTTTCTCCCTCTTCCTTTACCTGTCGCAATGTCAAGGTCCCAGGGGAGTTGTCATCCTGCAGGACGGTGAGAGGGGATCTCCCTAGCACCTTGCTGTTTGCTTTCCGTCTACTGCGCTTAGAACCTAGAAGAAAGGTTTAGTCCAAGTAAGGACTCAGAATTGGGCTCAGTTATTCTTCCTACACTATCCCAGGATGTGATTCTAGCTTCTTTCCCCTCCATCCTGCTCTTCAATTTTGTACCTGAAGACTGGGGAGTCTCAGGATCTCTTGAGGGCATGTCTGAGTTCTGGCTGGCAATTATGGTTTCTGTGGATTGTTTAGCTTCCTCCTTGGTAAACACCTGTTTGGAGGGGAGTTCAGGCTGGCTCCAAGGCAGCAACTGGTCCTCTAGGGATAACTGAGTCTCCAAAGGCAGGTCCAGTTCAGAAGATAAAGGTGTTTGCTGGGGTAGAGCTAGCTCTGCAGGGGAGATGGACTTGGAAGCTTCGGTCTCAAATACTTCACTCAGTTCTCTCATCAGGGGACTCTGAGGGTCTAGAGGGAAGAAAGAAAACAAGCTGTGGCCTTCTGAGACAAACCAAGGAGGAAAACAGAGAGGAGAATGAAGACCCCTGCTCAGATGGGGGAGGGAGTGGAAAGAATAAAGTCAAGGCAGGAGAAAACAAGCTATGGAGATTGAGAGGGAGCTGGGGTGGGGCTGGGGGGGGTAAAGTGTGAACACAAAAGAAGGGCTGGGGTTTGGCCCAACTGGGCTAGGGCAGCTGGGCCTGGTAGCACATGCCTGCGATTCTAGCACTCACATGCTAAAGTAGGACTGCCTCACTTCCGGAGCAGCCTGGGCTACAGTGTAAGACCTTGTCTTAAAAAACAGTCAGGCAGTGGTTGGCACAGGCCTTTGATCCCAGCACTTGGGAGGCAGAGGCAGAGGCACACTCTGTGAGTGTGAGTTCAAGGCCAGTCTGGTCTACAAAGCGTGTTCCAGAACAACCAGGGCTGTTTCACAGGGAAACCCTGCCTCAAGGGTTAAAGAAAGGAAGAAAGGAAAAAGGGCCAGCTTAGTGGACAAAGGAGCTTGTTACCAAGCTTGACCTGAACTGGATCCCCTAAAGCTGCCCTTTGACCTTCACACATGAGCCATCAGGTGTCTGTCCATACACATAAATGTTTAAAAAAAAAATTAAGTGAGGGGTTCAGCAGGAGGCTGGGGCTCCTGGCATGCTCAAGACCTTTGGCTCAAACCCCAGAGCTACAAAAAGAAGCAAATAACAAAAACCAGTAAAACAAAAATGGTCTCGACGGCACCCTAGATAGGTGTCAGTTTCATCAGATCCTCCCCCTCCCCCGGGTCCATCACTTACCTGCAGCACCGATCTTCATGGGTGTCCGTGCAATGCCAAGAGTAGGAGAGCGGGGGTCTGGGTCCTGGGCTAGCTTAGGACTGCTCGGCTGCTCTGTTGGCAGACTTGGCTGCGGGGAGCTCTCCACCTGTCAATACCGTAAGGTAGAACAAACCTGGGCCCGGAACTATCTCCTCCCCATATTCCCAGCCAGAACTGCTAATGCTCATGGATATGCAGCCTGTCAGATGCAGATTAAAAAAAAAAAAAAGAAAGTTGCCAGGCACAGTAGTGGCACAAGCCTTTCATTCCAGGGATTGGAAGGCAGAGGCAGGTCTGAGTTTGAGACCAACCTGGTGTACATGGTGAGTTCCAGGTCAGTCAGGGCTTCACAGTGAGACCCTGTCTCAAAAACAAACAAACAAACAACAACAAACCCCAGAAAGTCAGTAAATGAAAAAGAGACCATAAATTTGAAGGACAGAAAGGAAGGTTTTGGAGGGAGAAAAGGGAAGACAGAAATGATGAGATTAGGGCTGGAGAGATGGCTCAGAGGTTAAGAGCACTGACTGCTCTTCCGGAGGTCCTGAGTTCAATTCCCAGCAACCACATAGTGGCTCACAACCATCTGTAATGAGGTCTGGTGCCCTCTTCTGTCTTGCAGGCATACACACAGACAGAATATTGTATACATAAAAAAAAAAAAAGAAAAGAAATGATGAGATTATATCAGAACCTCAAAAAATAACAAAAGAAGGGTAGGTGAAGAAAGTAAGGTTCCAGTGGCAGGGGGATGAGGACAGGCACAGAAACAGGCTAGAGAGAGGCCCACGAATTCAGACAGCTTCTCTTCATTCTCCACCCCAGCCCAGCGTACCTGAATAGGAGTGCGCTGGATACCGGCGCTAGGTGAACGAGGGTCTGCTACCCGAGCCAGATGCTTGTTGTGTGGCAGAGGCCGCGCTGGAGTGCCTGAGATGCTCTGAGTAGAGCCCATCTCCACGAGCGGTGGGGACGCCCGGCTGTGTAGACAGAGGAAGGGACGCCCGTCAGGAGCGACTCAGTTTACAGCCGTGGCGGACCTCTAACCCCAGACCCACCCGATCGTCCCAGTTTCCAGCAGAGGAACCTCAGGGTCGCTGGCCCAGAAACCTCTGAGGGGCCAATGAGCGGAGCTGTCTAACAGCGCATTCAGATCTGCTGGAGCCTCGATTTAGCCACTAATTAGCATAGCTTACCGAGCCCCAGCTCGACCTCGGGGAGAACACTATCAGCTCGAAAAACAACTCCCAAAGCCAGGCGTTTCAAACTTCCCGCCACGCCCCCTGCCCTGACCCTATTGGCTGGGCCGAAGCAGAATCTCATAGGCCAGTTGTGGGAAACGCGCCCTCCAGACCGGAAGGCCATTAGTCTGGAGGATGTCTATCACGAGAGCTGGCCAATGGGGTGATGACCAGCTTGTGCCTCGGTGAGCCGAGGGGGACTTTTGTTCCGTGTCCGCCCGTCAGCTGTAGGCGTGAGACCCTGGGTGCTTCTCAGCTTTTCGATTTTATTAAACAAAATAGGGCGAGCGAGTTATTCTGCCGTACGCGCAAAACTGACTGGAGGCTGAGTTAGGATGGTTTGCCTAATACGAGACAGCAATCCTTATTGGTTGACGAAGTTATCACTCACATCTCTCAAAGTCTGCCTCATTGGCTACTGCTTTTCAAATACCCAGAAGACAAGTGCCCTATTGTCTTCCGATTGGACAAGTTTCAGTAATTCATGGGGTTAAACAGCCCAGTTTCTACTCTTCACTTAAAGATTGGACGAGTCCTTGAATCAGTGGACCCGCAGCTGCGCGCCCACCCCGCGGCTCCACACGCGCGCCCGCCCTGGAAGAGCGCGATTGGTCCTTTCGACCATCAGTTGTGCCAGGAGAGGTTTTCATTGGCGTTCGCTAAGAGTGGGGCGGAGGGCGGAGCACCAGGCGGCAGGCTGAGGCCAACTGCCGTTCTCGCGCGTCTTGCCTTTAGCGCATGCGCCTAGCGAGTCGTGCTCATTGGACGCGAGAGCAGGAGTAGGGAGGGACCTGGGACAGTGGGAGCTGCCGTGTGAGGAGGAGCTGCTGCCGGTGTCATGGCGGAGCTGAGTGAGGAGGCGCTGCTGTCAGTGTTACCGACGATTCGTGTCCCCAAGGCGGGAGACCGGGTCCACAAAGACGAGTGCGCATTCTCCTTCGACACGCCGGTAAGCCCATTCCCAATGCCCGCGGCGACCACGACTTCCTTCCATCGCCATGGTCATTCGGCCGGGCCTGCAAGCCTTGGGCTACCGCCTCCTTGCGATGCACCCTGGGAGTTGTAGTTTTCCCCGCGACTCTCTGCTTTTGCTTTTCATTATCTGAAGCTGTAGTGTGACTACCATTCCCGGAAGCTACAGCTCTCGGTTGGCCCATTCCTAGTCTGGTGAAGCATTATGGGCATTGTAGTTGCCCCTGTTTCTTGTTACCATTCTACGATAGAGTTGGAACCTGATCGGCGGACTACATCCCCCAGGAGACACCCAGAAAAAGCCTGGAGGTGGTCTTGCACGTTGCGCATGGCTCTCCGGGTTTTGTAGTTTCATGTGGGAGGACTAGGGGCGACTCCCCACTGTTCTGGGTAGGGGTTGAGGTTGGGAAGGTGTGGTCCTCATCTTCTAGTCTGGAAGAGGGCTGTGAAGAAGTCCAGTTTTGGCGAAAAACTGAGTTAAACATCCTCCACTCGTGGTTAATTTGGATAGTGGATGGGGAGGAGGGTCACTGGTAGGGGGGAGGAAAAACGCCCAGTGGAAAGATCTAGTCGTTTCTTCTCGGAAGTGAATTATGGCCGCGTCCCCCTCCCTTTTCCTCCGTCCTTCACAGGTTACCGAGACAACCCTTTTTGAAGTATTCCTGGAGAGGGTTTCTTTCTCTGGAGGATGCTAAGGCCCTTTTACCATCTTGCTCCCACTCTTGTCTAGTTAGACAAAGCCGCCACCCACACCGTGCTTCACGTTCTGCAGGCTCCACCTCATACCTACCTCCCTTCCCGCAGTTCTGCCTCCCTGTGTCTTCCTCAGCTGAAGCCGAGCCCCCGGGCCCGGATTGAAAGGGCTGCAGTTTGCTTGGGATCCGCCCCCCTCACAGCCCCTCCCCTCAAGCGGTTGTTGGGCCTTGCCCAGAGCATTCAGACAGACCAGCTCATGGCCTGAAAACTGCAAGTCAGAGTGGAAGGGCTCCATTTAGTGCATCCCCAGCGCTGAGTATAGTAGCCTGCTGTAATGCCCACTTCAGGACCAGTACTGTGATTTGTGGTCTGCTTGCTTTGCTGGGCTTTGATCTAAGCCTCAGATAATGCTATGCTCCTCTCAAGTTGGCCTTGGTAGAAATAAAGGAGGACTGCTGGCGTAGAGCGCCGGTGTTTTCAATCCGGGCTGAAAGCAGCACCTTTTATTTTCATCGGAAGAGTTAGTTACTTGAGAGTGCCCACTTTCCTCCCAGGAGGGAAAGTAGACATCAGTGGGTCTGTCTTTACTACAGCAATTTAAAGTTGTTCTTGTCTCCTCCTTAGTAGCTACTTTAAATGACCCAGAAAAGGTGAGGGTTTTTGTTTGTTTGTTTGTTTTGTAATTTTCAAATACCTTCCCTTTTTCCATTCTAAATCTCAGAGCCTTCCTGATTTAGTAACAAACTATGCAGTTTATCTTCTGATTCTCTGTCTGGAAGAAAGAGAGCGTAGTTGACCTTTGGTGAGAAATGCTTTGCCCGTGAACACTGCATTGTCCTAGTGTACGGTGCACTGGTCCACTAACTGTCTTAGATAACGACCTAATTTCACTAGCACAGTGGGAAGTGTTCAAGGCCACGAAGCTTTTATTCCAGGAAAAGGACGCCTTTGCTCAAAGCCCTGGGTCTGAGACCAGACTCTCTATTCTCCAGTCTCCTCTCCCACTTTCTCACTGTTACAGAGGCAGCCATGCTTACAAAGGCACTGGCAGACCGGCTTAGCTTTCCCTCCTCGGGATGCAGGATGGCCTTTGTTGTCCCTGTTCTTGAGTTTTTTGTAGTCTAGCTAAATCAGCCAGTGCTGCCAGAGTGTTGGTGGAATAGATATCTCAGCCAGGTGTGGTGGTAACACACCTGTAACCCCAGCCAGCCCCCCGGAGGCTGAAACTGGACAAAAGTTTCCATCATCGTAGGCTACACAGTGAGTTCCATGCCAGTGTAGGTTACACAAGGGGACTGTGTGTTAAAAATAAACAAAAGTAATAAAAAGGGCAGGCTTTGAGGTTGCAGGTTGATGGGGCTTCAGTGGAGATCTTACTGAGGAGAGGGATGGGATACGGGTAACTAGTAAAACGATGGACTTCATGACCTTGATAATCTAGGTTCATGTTTAGCTGTGAGTCCCAAACAGGTATTTTCCTCTAGAGCCAGGGTTTTCCTCTCGTAGAGTGTGGCAAAGGAAAGGTCTAGCTGTTGTCAATCTCAGGGTTAGGTGTATTGCTTGGTGCTGTGTGCTCTGCCTCTCTGGCCTAGGAGGTCTGGTTGGTGATCGGTCTGAAAGTGTAAGCCTTTTTTTCTCCCAAGAAGGACCTCCTTTTCTTCTGAATGTAGTCCCTGACACTGCCAGCCCCATTCACTTTCTGGATCTCCTGAGCCGAAGAAGAGGTGAGCTTCAAAGCCCACTCAATAACGAGCCAGAAGATCAGTGACTGAGGGGTGTTGTTCAGCTGCCTCATGTGCTTGTTGGCTGTTTTCAAACTCCTAGAGGATGCTGGGAGATCTTCAGCCATACATCATGCCCCAGAAGGATGGATAAGTTGCTAAGAGCCACACAGTGTTAGGAAACCTATAGTTTCTGGCTCTAGGTCCTTAGTTTCCCCACATGTCCAGGCTTCACCCTGCTTGTGTTTTCCCACTTGTGTTGCCCTGCAGGAGTCTGAGGGTGGCCTCTACATCTGCATGAACACATTCCTGGGCTTTGGGAAACACTATGTGGAGAGACATTTCAACAAGACAGGCCAGCGCGTCTACCTGCATCTCCGGAGGACCCGGCGACTGGTAGGCCCAATGGCTAGGGTATGGGCTGGGAACATCCAGACACTTTACACAGGTGCCTGTTTTGTATGTCTGTTCCTTTTAGTGAGGGTTATTATTGCTATGATGAGACACTATGACCAAAAGCAAATTGGGGAGGAAAGGATTACATTTTTTTTGGCATATTCTTCCACACTATGGTCCATCATTGAAGGAAGTCAGGACAGGAACTCGGAGAGGGGAGGAACCCGGGAGGACCTGATGCAGAGGCCATGGAGGGGTGCTGCTTATCAGCTGGCTCAATCTGCTTTCTTACAGAACCCAGGACTACCAGCCCAGAGGTGGCACCCACAATGGGTGAACCCTCCCATATCAGTCATTAATTAAGAAAATGCCCTACAACAGTGGTTCTCAACTTTCCTAATGCTGTACCGCTTTAATGCAGCTCCTCCTGTTGCGGCGACCCTAAAACAGTTATTTTCATTGCCACTTCCTCACTGGCTTTGCTGCTGTTCTGAGTCGTAATGGAAATATCTGATATGTGACTCCTGTGAAAGGGTTGTTTGACCCCCACCGTCACCAGAGGGGGTGCAGCCCACAGACTGCCTACAGCCCCATCTTACGGAGGCATTTCTTCAATTGAGCCTCCTCCTCTCTGATGGCTCTAGCATGTGACAGACTGACACAGAACTAGCCAGCACGCCTCTGACTCCCCCACTGTCCTTGGCTTTTCTTTCACCTGCTTTCATTTCTTTTACTAAAACTTGCCATAATTGTTTTTAATCTTCATTCCATTGTCCAGTTAACCATTCCTTTCCCTCCATCTTCCTCATTTGTTCTGTGTCTGGGCTCATGACTGCTCCTGACCCTCCTTTTTTCTTTGTTTTTGTCTTTTTGAGACAGAGTCTTACTGTGTAGCCTTAGCTAGCCTGATACTCATAGAGATCCTTCCTCTGCCTCCTGAATGCTAGAGAACAAAGTCATGTGCCATCACACCCGGCCCTCTGAACCTCTTTTCGTTGCAGAAAGAAGAGGACACTAGTGCAGGCACTGGGGACCCACCTCGTAAGAAGCCCACCCGGCTGGCAATTGGTGAGCTACCTGCTAGGAGAGCCCTAAACCTGATCATTGACTTTAGCGCTCTGGAGGAGACAAATTGGAGAAGAGACAATGACAAATAGTAGTTGCCCTCCTTTCTTCCTCTTCCCTGTCCTCCCCAGGTGTTGAAGGTGGGTTTGACCTTACCGAGGACAAGTACGAATATGACGAGGACGTGAAGATTGTCATTTTGCCAGATTACCTGGAGATCGCCCGGGATGG